TAAAATAAAATCAAAGAAAGGAAACAAAATTAATATATATAAAACATATATAATTTTAAAAGAATAAAAAATAAAAAGAATAAGAAAATAGCTGAAAATAACACTGAAAGACTAAACAGTTTTAAGTAACTCATGAATGCTATATTCTGTTTTCATCAAGAGCTGAAGTTTTGGATCCCTGGGTGGCGCAGCGGTTTGGCGCCTGCCTTTGGCCCAGGGCGCGATCCTGGAGACCCGGGATCGAATCCCACATCAGGCTCCCGGTGCATGGAGCCTGCTTCTCCCTCTGCCTGTGTCTCTGCCTCTCTCTCTCTGTGACTATCATAAATAATAAAATAAAAATTAAAAAAAAAAAAAAGAGCTGAAGTTTTGCAGTTGTCCATGATTCATAAGCTTGTTGCTAGCCAGTTGTTCCTGCTGGTCTTCTGTGGGAGGCACCTGTTGAGCTGATCCTCAGGTGCCTTTGCAGTTGTTTTGGAAACATTCCTTCATTCCCAGGAGGTTTTGCTCAGAGTCAGTAGTTCCAATTTCCACTATGTGGTACTGTTTTGCTCCCTGAATGCTTTCATCACAGATAGGAGGGATGAAAATGATGGTACCCCACTCTCTAACCCAGAAGCTGAAAATTCATGGACCCTGATATTCAGTAAGCCCTAACAGAGAAACAGTCTATCACCCCTGTCTCTCTGGCTTCTGTCTGAATTCTGTATTCACCCAGCCTGTGACTGAGTGTTTTTATCTGAAGCACATGACTCAGTTTCAAGACTCTGAATTTTATAGACTCCTGCAGTGTGGACTCATGCTGTTCCTCCTGGTGGAGAGAAGGGGATCTTTCCACATCTCTGCCTTTTGCTGGACCCCTGCCAGGAGAGTAGTGGATTTACTGTGCAACAGTTTGCAGTTTATGGCAACACAGCACAGAAAGCCAGCACATCGACATGTTTGTAGCTGGCTTCCCCACTCTTAAACCTGGGAACTTTGCTGTACTCAGACACCCCTGTTCTTATTATAATCCTGGCAATCCTGAGACAGTGCTTTCCCACCTGGGATTCCATCCTGCTTCCCCACCTAAGCAGCTTTAAGCCAGGGACATCCCCCACTGTATTAGAATTCTAAAAGTTCTGATTTTGTGTTCCACTGCTAATAATACTTTGAAGTAGCCTCCTTAAGCCAGCTTCCTTCCCTCCATCATATCCTCAGATATATTACCCTGGATTCAAATCTCTGCACCCCCTACCTTCCAAAAAGTGGTCACTTTTCTTTTGGAAGAATTGCAACATTTCTTATCTCAGATCTCTGATAGATTTCTCAGGTGTTCAGAATGATTTTATAACTATCTAGCTGAATTCCAGGGACTAGAGAATTTTAGGACTATTCCTCCACTATCTTAACTTTACCCACACCTCAACTTACATTTATTTTGATTAGATCCCTGGCAGCTATCTCTTCCAGTTATTATTATTATTTTTTTGGAATGAGTTCCTCCATCTTGGCATTTTGTTTAAACCTCTGTTTACTGTGTGTTAGGAAAAGCTGTTATGTTTCCTGCTCTTGAAAATAATGATTATATTAAGACGTGGTCATATACTGTTCAGAGCATGGTGCTTTAGGAAGGTTTTTTATTTTTAGATTCTGTGTGTGCTCCACTCTTCTGTTGGCTACTCTTTCTTTCTGATCAGTTTTCTTGAAGTTTCTTCTTGCTTGCAGTGTGGAGTGTTTGGACATGGTCCGGTGTGTGGCAACTTTTATCTAGTTATGTTTTGTTGTGCTTATTAGGAAAGGCTAGATCGTATTTCCCCTAGAACTGAACTCTAGGGGAGCACTAGAGTAGCACTCTATGATCAGTAGCACTTGCTGCTGGTCTTCTAGAGAAGGGAACTGCTGCGCTGGTTCTCGGCCTATATGTCCTTGTATAGATGCACCTGCAGGGTGCAGTAGGGCAGTGCTCAGTGTAAGCTGTTCCAACCTCCACTGGGATCACCATGTTGCTCACTGAAGTCTTTCTAATGGGCACGGAAAAAATGGTGTCTCCTCACTCTCTCATCCACAGAGAGGGGAGTTCACATCTGTTTCTGTTCAGGAAGCTCTCAGAGAAGAGTGAACAATCTTCCTTCTTGTGTCCCCTCTTGTGACTTCACTCCGTCTATGTCTGAGCCATCTGTTACCTGGCAGCACTGTATTCCTGTGTTTTATTTCAGGCATGTGGCTGGGTTTCAAAGCTCCAAGTTTTGGGGACCTGGCACAGTACAGACCTGCACTGATCCTCTGGGGGAAGGTGTCACCATGCTTTGGCTGGTGCTATTTTGTGCTAGAAATGCAGTCACATGACCATGTGGGGCTAGGAGTTTATGGTAAAGCATAACCTAAAGTTCGCTTCCAGGTTAGCAGCCTTCAGCAACTGCCTCTGCTACTATGCTAATTAATGGGGCTGCTCAATAGCACCCACCTTCTCTTTTGTCCCCTGAGAGTCAGTGTCACCTCTCCCAAATGCACTCCAGGAAGGGGAACTCTTTCTCCCCGTGCAACCCAGGGGATCATCAGACCACGTTGTCTGCTCCTGGGCCTTTGCCCTCCTTCCCCACAGGCACAACCTTGTGTTGTACACCGTATCTTCTTTAACCAGGTAGTGCTGCTATAAACATTGGAGTGCATGTACTTTTTCAAATCATTATTATTTTTTTGGCTTTTAGATAATTACCTCGTAGTTTAATTGCTGGGTCAAAGGAAATTCTCTCTTTAACTTTTTGAGAAATCCCCATACTGTTTTCCAGAGTGAGAAATCAGTCATAAATCTTATTAAGAATCTCTTATACATGATGACTTGCTTCTCCCTTGCTGCTTTCAATATTGTTTCATGGCTTTTGCTTTTAATTATGTGTCTTGGTATAATTTTTTCCCCTTATTTTCCTACTTGGAGTTCCTTGAACTTCTCATATTTCCAGAATAAAGCTTTCATCAAATTGGAGTTTTTTATGTTATTTAAAAATAATATTTTGTCTTTTTTGCATCCTCTATTTCTAAGACTTTTATTATGTGTAAATTGGTACACTTGATGGTGTCCCACAGGTCTGTGAGGTGCTGCTCATTTTTCCTCATTCTTTTTCTTTTATGCTTTAGTGGCTAATTTCAACTGTCATCTTTTCAAATTTACTGAGTCTTTCTTTTGCCACTTTAATCAGCTCTAGTAAATTTTTCTCCCTAGTGATTTTTTTCTTTTGGTGATTTTCCCTTTCAACTCCAGTATTTGTAGATGGTTTCCATTTTTATAATTTGTGTCTCTTTATCAACATTCTCTATTTGGTTTGAATCAGCTTCATTTCTTCAGTTCTTCAAACATGGTTTCCTTTAGGCTTTTGAACATACTTAAAATAATTTATTTAAAATATTTGTTTAGTGGGATGTCAGGGTGGCTCAGCAGTTGAGCATCTGCCTTTGGCTCAGGTCATGACTCTGGGATCCAGGATCGAGTCCCACATTGGGGTCCCCACAGGGAGCCTGCTTTTCCCTCTGCCTGTGTCTTGGACTCTCTTTCTGTATGTGTCTCATGAATAAATAAAATCTAATAAATAAATAAATGAAATCTTTGTTTAGTAAGTCTAATACCTGTGCTTCCTCAGAAACAGTTTCTATTTATTGATTTTCTTACCTGTTTATGAGATTTCTAGTTTTCTTGAATATCTCACATTTTTATTGAAAACTAGAGTTTTTTAAATAATATAATGTGACAATTCTGGAAGTCTGATTCTCACTCTTTCTCCAGGGCTTATTGTTGGCATTGCTTGTGTGCTAGTTTCTGTTTATTTGTTTAGTGACTTTTCTGAATTAATCCAGTATAGTTTTTTATATTCTTTGTCGTAGATGGCCACTGAAGTGTCTACTATATTAGCTTGGTGGTCAGCTAATGATTGAATAGAGATTTCCTTAAATACCTGAAACCAATAAATTTCCCAGTCTTTCCTCTGTTGCCTGTTGAAATATGTCTTTAGTACTTACACAGGCAGTTTATAACTGTGTCATAACTTTCACTCCCTACTTACACAGAGTCTCAAGGCTAGCCAGAGGTAAAAACCTATGACCTTCTCATGTTTTAACTGAACATGCACACAGCACTATGCTTGGCAGTGACCTTCTAGATTCTTAGGAATGTGTCAAAGATTTTCAAAGCTCCCATTGACATTTCATTCTTCAGTTTTTCTTTTTAAGTTTTTTGATCAGTCTCTTGTTTCCCTCAACTGTTAATCCATTGTCTCAGACAGCTGTGTGACACATATATCTCTCCCCAAGGGAGAGTCTTAGCACCGAGTAACCAGTAAAGACAAGTCTTTTGAGTCAGAAAATCACTGCACAGGTCAAATAATGAGAGTTGTTTGGGAATTAAACTGCTCTACTCATTCAAGGCTACTATTGGCCTGGGGAGGAGTAATGGGGTTAGGGAAAGTTAAAATGGCACAAAATTGCCATTATTAACATTAAGGTATTTTTCTTCTAAAAATGTTCCATGAATTGATGCAAACCCTTGGCTATTGTTTTAATTTGGGGGAAAAAGTTGATTTGAAAAATTTTGCCAGTTATTGTATTGCTTTTGTGAGGAAACAAATATCCAGATGTCATAACTCTACCATTTCCATTGACATTACCCACAGCCACCATCTTTGTAGTATTTTCTAAGTCTCTCTCAAGAAAATTAATAGCTAAATTTCAAAAGTTAGTAAAAACAAAATACGTCTTTCTAGTCCATATTGAAAGACCCTCTGGACTCTAGTTACACATTCCTTGGGAGTCTATGAACTCTGGTTTAAGAATCCTACTTTATAATGAAGTGAAGGATGCCTAACTTTTCGGCATCATGAGAAAAGTGTTGAGAGAGGTCCAGGTGTGGACTTGACTGGCCTTAACTTACTTCTTTTTAGTTGGCTTTCTTACTTGCTAACTTCTGCAGGGCATTCAACTGTTCACTCAAGGCTGCCACAGCCCTTGACTAACCTCGCTTTTCTTTGCAGACTCCTCAAAGCCACTCAAGACTAAGACTGAAGCACCAACAACCATGCAATCTCCTTTGGAAGGTGAGTTTTATTGTGGTTCTGTGGATGCAATAGAGTCCTGAAATGATGCCATGGAAGGCAAAGGAGGAGACTCTATGCCATTATATAGGTAGTAAGAGGTCACTGAGCTCCTCAGAGAAAATACGGCAATAACAGAATGGAAATAAAAGAAAGGTAGCAATGATTAAAAAGTTGTGAAAAATGAAATAATAAATATGTATACTCTTCTTTGTGAAAATTTCTGAACCAAAAGTAAGAAAGTTAGAATACTCATGTTGGAAAAGAGAAAATTCTGACTTCTATTTAGCTCTTAATCTGATTTGCTGTGGGACTTTGGATATGTTGCACTGCCTCTTCCATGGCCTCTTCCCACCACTAACAGTAAGAAACCAAGATACCTCATCTCATAGTACTAATGGTAAATAGATGTCCAGGATTTCTGGAAAGCTCAGCATAGATGCCCAATGAAAGTACTCAAACTTTGCAGTCACCTTATACCTTATAGTTCTTGGCTAGAACAGAGGACTCGGATTCTAATACTTTGTTTTCATAGAAACATCTACAGTGAAATTGATTTGGAAGTGGACCACTGAAGTGGATGTCTACCTTGGGGAGGCCAGTGCAGAGCCAGGTAAGGGAAAGCCAGGATTTCTATCCTTCCCTCTTGGCTCCGAACTTTGCAATTGAAACTTTGCACAATAAACACTATTCTGTGGCTTTTTGACAAAATTGTCAAAAGCCCTGGAGATGAGCACAGTGCATGGGATTGAGAGGGAGAGATACAAATTAATTAATGAGCAAAGCCAGAGTGGATTTAAGTGTTAGATGTGTTCTTAGCTGGTTCTCTATTGCCACAGTAATACACCTCACCTCCCAAACACTCTAAACAATAATAGGAATGGGACCATGACCTCAGCCAACTCTCCTAGGAAGATGGGCATTGGACCACATAAGGGTAATTTCAGGGCCTCATTATTATGTAAGGTCTTAACCAGGGTTCACCAAGCACCTTGCAGCTGATTTTTTATTTCTCCAAGGTTTCAAGGATTCCTAAGTCATGATCTCTAAGATCCAAACCTCAAAGAAAAGCTTTTTTTGTGTCTTATCTGGAACTTATAGTCAGCTTGTATGCACAATCTAGGGCAACACTGATTGTTAAAATAATGAAAAACTTTTATGGTAGTTGATAATTATATGCTTTCATTAATCACTGAGCAACCTACTATCACCTGATCTTCTCTGCCTTATTTCTTAGAACTCTCCAGACCACACGTGGTCCTGCAACAAAAGTGTTGATGCCTGGTATAGCAGGGGGTCTCTGAGACTCTATGTTTACAGTCAGTATCTGTTTTAATTTTTTGATGCTAAATAATGATGACTATCACTAATGGATTCATCCTCTGTGTATCAATAATGGTGGATTTCTTAATGTCCATGTACTTCTCCCCTTCTGATTGCACAGCTTTTTGTCTATCTTTAGGCATAGCCCAAATTTGTTTTGTGGGCTACCTTTATATTGCCATCTTCTATAATTCCATACCTCTTGCAGGGCAGCATCCAATGAGACAAGGGAGATTAGAAGATAATTTTTGGAGAGTTGGTTTGATAAAATGAGAAAATAACCTGGGGGAATGAAAATTCTCAGAATCTTGGCTGTGTGCCCTATATCCCCCATCAGTGATTTTTATTTGTTTGTTCATTTGTTTGTTCGTTTGTTTGTTTTTACTACTTGGATCCATGTACAAAGAATTTTTCCTTCAATCTTTATCAGTTTATAGCTTGGATTCTCTCATTCCATCCTAAAGCAGCAGAATACACATGATTTTCAAGTGCACATGGGGCACTTTCCAGAATAGATCACATACTAGGTCACAAATCAGAACTTAGCAAGTACAAAAAGAATGAAATCATACCAGGCATATTTTCTGACCACAACACTATGAAATTTGAAATCAACCACACACAAAAAAATGTGGAAAAAACACAAATAATTTGATATTAAGTAACATGATACTAAACAATGAATGGGTCAAAGAGGAAATCAAAGAAGAGATGTAGCTTGGGTTATCTCCAACCACAGTTCTGAGGACCACAAATACCAGATGTTTTAAATTTATTTTTTAAATTCAAGTATAAGTAACACACAGTGCTATATTAGTTTCAGGTGTACAATGTAATGATTCAACAATTCTATACATGCTCAGCACTCATCATAAGTGTACTCTTAATCCCCTTCACCTATTTCACCCATTCCCCCACCCACCTCCCCAATGATAGTCATCAGTTTTTCTCTATATTTAAGAGTTTTGTTGCTTATTTTCTTTGTACATTTGTTTTATTTCTTAAATTCTACATATGAGTAAAGTCATATGGTATTTGTTTTTCTTTGACTGACTTATTTCATTTAGCATGATACCTTCTAGATCCATCCATGATTTTGCAAACCACAAAGTATTATTCTTTTTATGATTAAGTAATATTCCAGATTTCTAAGACAAAATATTTTAGGGTCTGGTGAAAATAAAGCCAGTTGCAACAACAAATCCTAAGGACAGTGAAATTCCTTTCCCTATCTCTATCCCCTGGTCTCACCCCCTAAATTCAGAATACTGTAGCTACAAGTATATTAGACATTATATAATCTTTTCTCTTCATTTAAGATTTTATTTCTTTATTTGAGAAAGAGCATGAGTGAGGGCAGGGGAGAGGGAGAAGCAGACTCCCTGCTAAGAAGGGTGCCTGACGTGGGGTTTGATCCCAGGACCCTGGGATCATGACCTGAGCTCAAGGCAGATGCCAAACTGACTGAGCCTCCCAGGTTCCCTGTGACATTATGTAATCTTTTCATTGAACTTGTGGGAAAACTAAGGCCTACTCAATAATTTGAGTAAAGCTACTGTATTTATTTTTCTCTGATGGCTATAAAAATTAGTACATCAAACTTAGTGCCTTAAAATAACACAAATGTATTATCATATACTACTAGAGATCATCTGACACACTGGGCTAAGATCAAGGTATTACCAGGGCAGTGTTTTTTGCTGGAGACTTTGGGGGAAGAATCAGTTTCTTTGTTTTTTCTGGCTTCTAGAAGCTACTCATCTTTCTTGGTTCTTGGCCCCCTTCCATCATTTTCAAAACTAGCAATGTAACATCCTCAAATCTTTGTCTAACTTTGATCTCCTTTGTTTCCCTTTTCCACTTTTAAATGACCCTTGTGATTACATTGAGCCTGCTCAGGTAATCAAGATAATCTCCCCATCTCATGGTCAGCTAATTAGCAACCTTAAGAATATCTGCAACCTTAATTCCTCCTTATAATTTAAACTAAAATACTCATGGGTTATGGGGATTTGGATGTGAACATCTTTGGATAACCATTGTTCTGCCTACCACAGTAATACAAGTAAATAACAGATCCAGGACTGGAAGCCTAGTCCAATGGTTTCCTTCAGATTGCAGGCATAGTTGGGATAGTTAACTCATGAGACCCAGTGGAAATATGTTTTGAGGAAAAAGAAAACTGAGCACTTGTCCAGAGAGTGTGAAGAAAAGAATTCTTTTTTTAATTGTTAATTTTAAATTCAATTTAGTTAGCATATAGTGTGTTATTAGTGTCAGGATAGAGTTTAGTGATTCATCAGTTGCATATAACACCCAGTGCTCATTACATCAAGTGTCCTCCTTAATGATCACCACCCAATTATACAATTCTTCACCCACCTCCCCTTCAGCAACCTTCAGTTTGTTTTCTAGAGTTAAGAGTCTTATGGGAGGGCAGCCTGGGTGGCTCAGTGGTTTAGGTCCTGTGTTCAGACCGGGCATGATCGTAGAGTCCGTGGACTCCAACATGGGATTGAGTCCCACATCGGGCTCCCTGCATGGAGCCTGCTTCTCCCTCTGCCTGTGTCTTTGTTTCTCTCTCTCTCTCTCTCTCTCTTTCTCTCTCTCCTCTCATGAATAAATAAAATCTTAAAGAAAAAAAAGAGACTCTTATGGTTTGCCTCCCTCTCTGTTTTTATCTTATTTTTCCTTCCCTTCCCCTATGCTCATCTTTTTTGTTTCTTAAATTCCACATGAGTGAAATCATATGGTATTTCTTTCTCTGACTTATTTCACCTAGCATAATACCTTCTAGTTCCATCCATGTCATTGCAAATGGTAATATTTCATTCTTTTGGATGACTGAGTAATATTATGAGATATTATGATATATATATATATATATATATATATATATATATATCCATTCATCTGTCAATGAACATCTGAGATATTTCCACATTTTGGCTATTGTGGACATTGCTACTATAAACATTAGGGAGAATGTGCCCCTTTGAATCACTATGTTTGTATCCTTTGGATAAATACCTAGAAGTGCAATTGCTGGGTCAAGGGTATTTTATCTTTAACCTTTGAGGAACCTCCATGTTTTCCAGAGTGGTTGCACCAGTTTCCATTGTAACACCAGTGTAAGATGCTTCCCCAAGGGGAAATAAATGTTTTGCCTAGAAGCAATTGACCAGATTATCAATAAGGTAGCATTTTTGTGAAGCGGGAAGTCAAGGGACTACTTTATCTTAAGAGTAGGTGAAAAGCTCTATTCATGGCCCCAAGGAAAGCATGGAGGACTAGTTCAAATGCCCAGGCCAATTAGCCATCAATTAGAGGGTTTGGAAGAATATGTTTATACATGGAGTCTGTAGCCTCTGGAAGTCTTTCTCATAGGTTTAGGGTCTTGTTTGTCTCTCTGGTTAGCTAATAAAGGTAGGAGAAAGTTAAAAGTAGAAAAGAAAGAGTTATGGGCTTGTCTGGGCTGGTCCTTGGAATCTCTGTTTCTGAACTCATTTTCAACCATATACCTCTTGGTCTTGTTTTACCTCCTAGGAAAGGGCCTGCCTGTGTTTTCTATTGTTCTCATCATTTCCCTATGCTGTATTGTGGTCTTCATCATGGCTTATGTCATGGTCTGCCGGAAGACATCTCAACAAGGTGAGTGATGAGTACTATTGAGTGGCTTTTGCTTATTAATTCATTCTGACAGTATAGTAAGGCATAATTTCAAAGGGCTCCCAGCCTAGTTTGGGATTGAGGGTAGGTGTGCATGGAGACAGACATGCAAGCCAACAATGACAATATGATTTTTGGAAGTTTTTTTGTATATTTTTTATTGGAGTTCAATTTGCCAACATATAACATAACACCCAGGGCTCATCCCATCAAGTGCCTCACTCAGTGCCTGTCACCCAGTCACCTCATTCCTTCTACCCACCTCTCCTTCCACTACCCCTTTTTTGTTTCCCATGTTAGGAGTCTCTCATGTTTTGTCACCCTCTCTGATTTTTCCCACTCATTTTCTCTCCTTTCCCCTTGTAATCCCTTTCACTAGGTTTTATATTCCTTGTATGAGTGAAACCATATAATAATTGTCCTTCTCTGATTAATTTACTTCACTCACCATAGTACCCTCCAGTTCCATCCACGTCGAAGCAAATGGTGGGTATTCGTCATTTCTAATGGCTGAGTAATATTCCATTGTATGTATATATATATATATATATATATATATATATATATATATATATATAAAATCACATCTTCTTTATCGATTCATCTTTTGGTGGATATTGGGGCTCCTTCCACAGTTTGGCTATTGTAGACGTTGCTGCTATAAACATTGGAGTGCAGGTGTCCTGTTGCTTCACTGCATCTGTATCTTTGGGGTAAATCCCCAGCAGTGCAATTGCTGGGTCATAGGGTAGTTCTATTTTTAACTCTCTAAGGAACCTCCACACAGTTTTCCAGAGTGGCTGTACCAGTTCACATTCCCACCAACAGTGCAAGAGGGTTCCCCTTTCTCCACATCCTCTCCAACATTTGTTTCCTGCCTTGTTAATTTTCACCATTCTCACTGGTGTGAGGTGGTATCTCATTATAGTTTTGATTTGTATTTCCCTGATGGCAAGTGATGCGGAGCATTTTCTCATGTGCTTGTTGGCCATGTCTATGTCTTCTTGGGTGAAATTTCTGTTCATGTCTTTTCCCATTTCATGATTGGATTGTTTGTTTCTTTGCTGTTGAGTTTAATACGTTCTTTATAGATCTTGCATACTAGCCCTTTATCTGATATGCCATTTGCAAATATGGAAGTTAACTCACAAATTTTTGGTATCCAGCTCAGTACAAAACCATCCCTGTAATGGGTTGTCTAACAAGGATGCAGGAGAAACAAAAGTCACAATCCTTGGCCTCAATTTGCCTATAATTTATTTAGAAAATTCAAAGTAGAAACATGAAGTTTATCAATATCCATACATAACAATAAATTCTATAGACTCAAAACCTTGAGAAAACAATCAATGTCAAAGGTTTCCAGAGGAGAAGAGAGTTACTTAGGGCTGAAGTGATTAACAAGGGCTTTTATGAGGAGATGGGAGTTAGACTAGGTCTTGGAGGATGAAAACAAATTAGAAGGCAATATCAGGAAGGAGGAACTACATGAGTAAAAGTGCAAAGGCTTAAAAGATGACTGTGAGTGGGGTCATCAATGTAGAAAATTCATGGGTAAATGCAGAGGAAAAGGAAAGTTTACTCCTGATTATAGAGTGTCTTAAATAACAGGCTAAGTAACTTGGAAAATTTTCTCTAGGCATTGCAAAGAACTAAAAGTCACCAGTTTGTTTTTTTTTTAAGCAAATGAGTGGCATTATGAAGGTACAGTTGTCAGGGCCATTTAACAACTGTGAGCCAACAGAGGAGGAAAAAGAGTTTGGATGTTGATTTCTACGTAAAACCTAGCTACACCTCAATGCCTTCTGCACTGGCCATTTTGCCTAACAGTAGTGTCTTTTTCTCTGCAGAAGCTCCTATTCCCAAATAACCTGGTTTACACCCTGGCTTTCTCCAGCCAATGGCAAGAAGGGAGCCATGAATATATCTTTCTCCTTGGTCTTAAGTATAAGCTCTGGTTTTGGCCAGTAAGCGTGGCTATGACCCATGAGGCTGAACTTGAAAGTAGAGATATCTCAAGTAGCCACAAATCCAATGAATACTAAAGGAAAACCTTCTTCGTAGTCTCAATGAGACTAGGTATAAACTGTAACCATATTTGATTGTTTCTCTCTCAAAAACCTTCCAAGGCTGCTCTGGGCCCAGATTATAGAAGTCAAAGTGTTGCATTCCATTAAAGGTCCTCTCTTATGTACCCTATCTTCTTGACCCTCACCACTCCTTACTTTCATTTTCAGTTACTGGAGTCAAACAGGCAAATAGGCTATACACCTCATGACTTTATGCTTTTTCCCTTCTGGATTGCCTTTCCAGTATTTCTATTATTTACCTATCTATAAGAGAGATAGCCTTGAGCCATCAATTCAGTTTAACATGTAGTTACTAATTGCTTACTATGTGCCAGGCATTGGGCATATAAAAATGAAAAAGACAACACCTGTATTATGAAGAGCTACCAGGCCAACTCCAGGGAGGTAAGACATGGAAACACAGGGCAGTATCACAAAGTAGAGGATGTGTAGCATGCTCTGTTTGCTTTTTTCTGGTTTAATTCACACATTACCAGTTGTATTCGTGTAAAATTATAAACTATTGGAGGGCAGTACCAAGAGACATCCATCTAGTACCAGGTTATAGAGCCTTTAAACCTTCATGGAATGTAGATAGTTCTCCTTCACAGACACTAGGGAGCAATGGTGATCTACTCCAGGACCTTTCCTGGGCGCATGGTGGATGAGTGCATTTGGAAATGGCTTTGGTCATGGTCCCTGACAGATTATCTCAGCCCATTCTGCCTGGGCTCTGGCCTGGCCACCAAGTTTACACAAAAACTCCTGAAGAACCTTTGGCAAGAGACTCCTGGTTGGGGAGTGAGTCCAGTTCCAGTGTCCTTTACCCTACCACATGAAGCAACTGTTTCAGCCCAATAGTAACCAAGTGTGCTTCCTCTTCTTTACTCTGAGAAATCTGTATTCCTGTGCTTTAATTTACCTTCCCAATACCTCCCAATTGTGGCCCTCTTCTCTGTCTCCCATTCCCTCATTTGTCCACATTTGGCCCTTGTCCACTCCCCGTGGAGAATTCTGACTTGATTCCTCCTTCTTTTTTAGAGCATGTCTATGAAGTGGCCAGGTAAGATTCCCTCTGCTCTTCCATTTTCTTTTTTGTTTTGTTTTGATGTTTTTAATTAATTTTTTTATATTTTTATTGGAGTTTGATTTGCCAACATATAGTATAACACCCAGTGCTCAACCCATCAAGTATCCCCCTCAGTGCCTGTCACTCAGTCACCCCAACCCCCCACGCACCTCCCCTTCCACCACACCTTGTTTGTTTCCCAGAGTTACTCGTCTCTCATGTTCTGTCTCTTCCATTTTCTGAACATTTCCCTGCCCTCATTCTGTTTGTCACTGGCATGGAGGAAGAAGGGGTGGTTCAAACCCATTTCTAAGCCCAGAGGCCTTCAGGGCTGGGGCACTGCTTTCTTCCCTCTCTGAAGCACCTCTGAGATTCTTTCTTGGCTCCCTGATCACACAGGATAATGCATGTCCATCAGCCTCCTTTTCCCAGAATCCCTTGATAACAAGAGCCTAAGGGTCAGTTGGCAAGAATTGGGGCAGAAGTGTGGGAAACTAAAGTCCCAGCCTGAAGTCTCTTTTTATGGGTTGTGGGATCTTGAACCACAGGATACATACCAGGCAGGCCAGAAATTCTGGTGAAAACTGGAGAGTGGCCATTTTCACAAGTGGCTACTCCAGCGAAGAGCCATCTTCTCAAACTCCAGGGAATGACTACTCTGATGATCCCTGCCTGGGCCAAGAGTACCAGATCATCACCCAGATCAACAGTGACTACACTCATCTGCTGCACACAGTTTCTCCAGATTATGAGCTTTTGGCAACCAAGGATAAGAGTGTCTGCTAAAAATGCCCTGCTAAGCCAGGGTCTGCTGCCATAATTGCCTATTCAGTCCCTGTCTTCTGCATAGCTGCCTTCCCTGCTACGTCTCTCCCTGGATAACCTATCATGTCTTCCCTGCCAACACTGAGGTTTCTAAGAGTGACTGGCTTTGCTTAAAAAGTTACCATATGCACTTTTAGACAAGCCTTCTGGGTCAGGCCTTAGGCCCTTCTGCTATCTCTTCTTCTGCTGCTTCTCTTTAAACACCAGCAGGAAGTTCCCATAGCACTAAGACATAGTCACCATGCCTCCAGATGTCACTCAACTTTGGCCTCTTGCCACCAGAAGACCATAAGGAAACAACTTTGCCAGCTCAAGGGACTAGTTGTGTCCAACATCACTTCCTTTTTTTCAGGGCCATATAGCTTTTAAGATTTTTATGTAACAGGCCAGGGTTCAGTTTTGCTCCTGAACTGTTAGTCTAGTACTCTGATATTCTTTTAGTGCTCAATAAATATCTAATCATATCATTCTTGATTGTATTGGTCTTCTCTCAAGTACCTACTAAGTGATTAAAGTGAGACTAGTTGAGATGTTTGGAATTATAAATAAAACCTTTTCATTCTTGGTCTTTTTCTTTCCCACCCATGCCACTTTAAGTTACTTCAGAGATGGGCCCATCTGGGACATAATGAATGTTTGGCAAATTAGTACCCAGCTGCCTTCCATTCCCTCCCTTGTTACCCAGCCAACTACACCTGGATGACTCTCTAAATCAGTTATGAAGCTGAAAATGAAGGAACCATTCTTATGTTTCAGGAGACTGTGGATGCAGAGATAAAGGGCTCCCTTTCCTTCCAAAGTATGAATATATCACCCTCAAAATTTCTACCTCCTAGAATTGTAAAATCTATGCAGTAGTTGTATTCATCATAATTTATCTCTACGCCCTGGCCTCTTATTACAATTTTGAGTAGGAGGTCAAAGCAAGGAAGTCTTTTTCCTCAAGCATAAATGGGAAATAGGAGTGTAGGTGTGTGTGTGTGTGTGTGTGTGTGTGTGTCCACTTGTGTGTGTGCACGCATGCATACAGCTTTATTTCAGTCTCTTCTATAAAGACCTTATTTAGGGTGGCTCATGACTACTTCCTTTCCCTCATATAATTCATGTCAAATCAACCTCTTTGCTCTTCAACGGAAGCTGTTTTTGCCACTTTGGGTTCCAATGCAGTCCCAATGTCAGCTCAATTTCACCAGGAACTTCTCTTCTTTGGTATGATTACAGAAATCAAAGTAGTACAAAGAAATTAACAAGAAGGAATCCTCTAATTCAACACCACCAACCTGCCAAGTCCATGGTCTAAACCTCAATGTTTTCCTCATGCCCATATGCCAAATTCACATTGTTGGTGAAAGGAGCAACTTGTTTTTCCCCACCTATCATGCTTACAAGCCTCTGAAACAGGGACCCACCGAGTGGAAACTTCAGCTTCCTTCATGAAACAGCCGTGTCCAGACCCCACACCCTCAAGGAAAAAAATTATCTCTTCCCACTACCCTTAAAGAAAGGAATGACTGGGGTTAGAAAGAGAATCCTAATTACATGTCCACTGGTAAAAGGAGCCCCAATCCCAGGGATATTCCCTTGACAACCCCATAGAACCTATGGACCTCCATGGATTCTCTTGTCTCCAAAGGCTTAGAGATTATTGATTTTAATTCTTCCATATTACACTTGAGGAAATAAAGCCTAGAGAGGAGCAGTAACAGTCAAACATCACACACATCAAGTCAGTGGTAGAACAGAGACCAGAAAGCAGGTCTGTGAACCCCTAGGAGCATATTCATTGCAGCAGAAAACTTCTGGGTATCATCTTTGACCAAAAATGAATACTATTTTCCATATAAGACAAGCCAGGAAGAGAGTCCTAGGTATAGGACTAGCCCAAAGCTACAGTGTTGGCTAAACAAACATGAGAGGAAAACATAGAATTGTCTTCAGCAGATGGCTAGTGAGGGAAAGCTGGAATAGGAGATCCTCAAAAGAGAGAGAAGATATGATGTCCCTCTGTGGCAGTTTCCCAAGTATTGGCCAAGAGATTTCACCACTTTTCCACAGAGAAATATTCATGTTGCTTTCAATTATTTGTTATGTAACATGTCTTAACTAGATGCACCTGTGTATTTATCTTGGAGTGTATTAGCTAGATAATTTTCAGTAGAACTGATTTCAAAAATTTGTAATGCTGATGCAAATCATATATATTATCATATATATATATATATATTTGATAGAATTTAAAATTGATGTTCCAAAATTTGTTTAACAATTTATATTCTCACCAGCAATGTAGAAGATTTCCTCTTTCAGCAGACATAGTACAGTGGGTAAAATCAAACTTCATATCTAACAATTTTATAATTGAGAAATAATTTCATTGTTCAGCCACATTCCACTTATTAGTGACTTTTCCTGAATCTATTTATTGATTTTTGGGTATATTATTTTTCTAGGGCTGCCATACAAAGCACCACAAATTAGGTGGCTTAAAACAATAGAAATGAATTTCTCCTGTTCATACACATTTCCAACATTTCTAGGGCCTTGCCACGTTCTGTCTGGAACCTGCAGAGGAATCCTTGCTTCTCCATAACTGTGAGAAATTTGAGGACAAAATTTGAGGTTCCTTGGTTGCAGCTGTAGAACCACCGTCTCTGCCTCCACCCTCTCACGAAGCCTCCATGTCTCCATCTGACTGTCTTATTACAAACACACTAGTCAATTGAATTAGGAGGCCACCCCACACTGTCATCATCTCATCTTTACTAATTACATCTTAGCACCCCATTCCCAAATAAGGTCACTTTCTTAAGTCCTGATTTCTACAACTATAAGGTATTTTCTTTTGGAAGATACAATTTAATCTAGGATATAGGGGAAGAAGAATCCTTTCCAAGATGCTTATAATTGTTAATTTTTTTAATATTCAACATAGTTGCTTTGCACTGAAATGAAACCTAATAAAATAAACATTAAGACCATAAAAAAGAGATGGCCTATAGGAAAAAAAATTACATGATGAGATAGGCATGAGAAATGCTACCTTCTACAGATCTCTATTGGATATTTCTAATACAACATAGAATATTAAAAGCTCTGAAAATCCTGCAATAAAGCACCTGTATTACTTTGAGTTATCAAATAATTCCAAAACATATTTGCCCTCTGGGTCTACTTTTTTTTGCTCTTCTTCTCCAGCCCTTGACCCTATTTCTCAGGAGGAAACCCCTCAATCTTGATTCTTACCTCACATATCCTGCAGAATTATGATGACTACAGTTTAATTTTCCTCACAAAATTCCTGGACAGCATTTTGACACAAAACCAAGAATAATGATCTAGTATGAAGTCAATCAATCAGTAAACATTTATTATTTTCTGTACCCAGAATATTGAGCTACATGCTGGAGTGGAGATTGAAAGGGAAGATAGCAATCAAGGAAACATAGTGTTGTCTTTACAATTTAGTGGGGACTTCAAAAATAACCCCTGGAAAAGTCTGCTAACATTTCAAGAGGTGTTATTGGGCAATAGGAGAAGGTTCCTCAAAGAGTTAAAAATAGAACTGCCCTATAACCCAGCAATTGCACTGCTGGGGATTTACCCCAAAGATTCAGATGCAGTGAAACACCAGGACACCTGCACCCTAATGTTTATAGCAGCAATGTCCACAATAGCCAAACTGTGGAAGGAGCCTCGGTGTCCATCAAAAGATGAATGGATAAGGAAGATGTGGTATATGTATACAATGGAATATTACTCAGCCATTAGAAATGACAAATACCCACCATTTGCTTCAACATGGATGGAACTGGTAAGTATTGTGCTGAGTGAAGCAAGTCAATCAGTGAAGGACAAACATTATATGGTCGGTCTCATTTATTTGGGAATATAAAAAATAGTGAAATGGAATAAAGGGGAAAGGAGAGAAAATGAATGGGAAATATCAGTGAGGGTGACAGAACATGAGAGACACCTAACTCTGAAAAAAGAACAAGGTGTGGTGGAAAGGGGGTTGGGGTGACTGGGTAATGGGCACTGAGGGGGGCATTTGATGGGATGAGCACTGGGTGTTATTGTTATATGTTGGCAAATTGAACTCCAATAAAAAGGACCAAGGCAAGGAGTGTTTGAATGAAAAAGAAGAAAATATAGGTTAACTTTCAAAGGTCCTTGGGGAGACTGGACTTTGGCTAGGCCAGAATAATGAGAAATAATTGAATAGGCAGAAAACAATGGAGAAAGTATTACCAGAAGGAAAAAAGACATGAGGACAAGGTAAAAGATAGATAAGTTCAAAATGTGTTTAGAAGCCCAGGCTGAGTGCCTGTTTAGATCCCTGGGTGGCTCAGTGGTTTAGCGCCTGTGTTCAGCCCAGGCATGATCCTGGAGTCCCGGGATTGAGTCCCACGTCGGGCTCCCTGCATGGAGCCTGCTTCTCCCTCTGCCTGTGTCTCTGCGTCAATCTCTCTCTCTCTCTCTCTCTCTCTCTCTCTCTCTCTCTCTCTCTCATAAATAATTTTTAAAAATTAAAAAAAAAGCCCAGGCTGAGTTTCAGGAAAGTGGGTTTCTAAGCTCTGTCATGAAGTTTGTGTAAACATTTTGGTGTTCTTATTGGGGACTCTGTAAGAGGAATGTGAATAAAGAAAATATATATCAAAGAGTACTTCCATCCCTGGGTCCTATATACCTTTTCAAGACCATTATATCCTCCTCAGGCTCTGACAATGTAGAAACAGTCCAGGGCTATAGCTTCAAGAGTTGCCTTATTTTTCCCCTGGCAACATCAGAGTACTTCAGTTCCCTCAAAGTCACTGAAAATAACTTATGAGAGCTTAGTTCATATTTGGTGAGTGATCTTTTCTCCAGCTGGCAGTTTATTTGTTGTATCCCAACTCTTCTGGCCTGGAGCTGTTAGGCATGTGCCGCACTTGGGGTATTTGACAAACTGACACTCTTCCACATGGAGTGTCTAACTCAGCTTGTCAAATACACGGAGTGTGGCACTGCAGGAGGCCAAGCCCGGGGTTTCAGTAGGAATGCAAGATCTTCCTGGGAGATGTGGCCCTGGAGGGAAAGAAAGAAAAAGGAGTCACACCTTAAGCCCCAGAGAAACTGCAGAGGCAAGGGACTAGCCTAAATATAATAGGGAAGTGAGCAAAATAAGCATAAGGCTCCCAACCAGAAGATGAATCCTAAGAGAAGGCCCAGTTGGGACTGTAGATGAGGCCCCAGTGCCCAGACAGGGGTCCTCAGGCCTGATAGCTGTGGCATTTCTTGGGGTTCCAAGCTTCAGTGGGTTCCTATATGCAGTAGGGAGAGAATTTGGTCATTGTCCTGCCTCTCTGACCTCAGGAAAGCACCAGGCCCCAGAGTCAGTGTCCATGGCCCCCTTCCCAACCCTCCCACAGTCTTGTGGCTATAAACATAGACTTTGAGGTTAAACATGGACTTGAC